AGTTTTAACATCATTGTTTCTTCTTTGTATTCCATGAATACCATCTGAGGTGTTAGGGGAAGATGATAGTCTCACCGTTACAGATGGAGAATGCTTGTTGGGCACGTTCTCTATCTTCTTCTCACTCACTGGTTCCTTATTATCAATTGAGGAACCTTGTTTCGATGGGACTTGGGACATCTTTCCGCCAGTTTTAACATCATTGTTTCTTCTTTGTATTCCATGAATACCATCTGAGGTGTTAGGGGAAGATGAGAGTCTAACCGTTACAGATGGAGAATGCTTGTTGGGCACGTTCTCTATCTTCTTCTCACTCTCTGGTTCCTTATTATCAATTGAGGAACCTTGTTTCGATGGGACTTCAACTTTTTTAGAGAGCAACACAGTTTCCCTCTTGATAATTTCCGGGGGATATGGCGAGGGCGTTTTCTTGGAAGATGACAGCTTGTGCCTTTGCATATGGGTTATATTACCTGGTGAAGCCTTTTGCCATGGGGAGTATATTTGGGTATCCAAGGATGTCATAGGCTTTGATGTAAAGGATTTGGCAACTGGAGAAGACTTGTGCTCTGGTAAATGGGATTTGGTACCTGATGAAGCCTTGTGATTAACAACTATTTTCTTCTTTTGTTCCCCTGGAATAGTTTTCTCTACTGAAATTTGCTCATTGGGGGGAGGTTTTGTTGTCCTCTTCGCTATATTATGCCTTTCCTTCGCTTCAAATGCATGTTTCCTGCCATATTTACAGAAATCATGGCAAGAACCCGTGGATGCTCTGAGATAATGGGGAATTGATTCTTGACTATTGTTTGCAGAATCTAGTTTCTCAGTAGAAACTCTTCTAGTATTTTCTCTAGCATCGTATGCTCCAATGGATGATCTACGTTGCTGGGAATAAATGTTGCCTCCATTGTACGGAGAACCTGATATTACTGAAGAGATTTTGCCCATGTTTCTCACGTCCAATTCATTTTTCTATGGAGTCACCATTGAACTGATGCTTCCTTCAGCCATCAAAATGGAAAAAGAAAAAGAACTTGTAATACCCAAAATCCTGAAAATAAAAGTTATATATAGTTAACCATAGATGATACCAATTAAACTGTCAATTCAGTTTAAAAAGAAATCGCGTCAAGTAGAACAATATTCTGGAAGGAATTCAATTTGAAAGAAAAATACTCCATCTCTCCCTCCCATTTCCTATAATTGGTTGTTAGGTTCAATGGAAGCATAAGTACCGTAATGGACCTCAGCCCCTTCCGGGAGCCAAAGTTCAAAATCACAAACTCTGCATTATAGAGAAACAAGGCTCTCGGCTTGAAATTTGCAATTATTACGCCTCCATAGAATTTAAAGAGATGCAAAAGTTGATAAAATCACGAACTTGGCTTCATATCAAACTAATAAATTGTGTATGCTTTTAGAGAATTGCTTCCATTATATGGTGCCATTGAAGAATTATATAGTAAACAAAGAGCATATGCCAAGCAGAGCTTCACGAAGCCAAAAATAGGTGAAGATTAAACAACAGTATAGTAAAATAACACAGAAAACATCACATTTAACTTCAAATAAACAAATCGAACTAGTAATTTATTGCAATTGTTCATCGCTAGCCATCCTCCACCACAACCTACACCATTCATCAATCTACAGAACCAAGCGAATAAGTGCTCGAATGAGATGATTGTTGAAGAAAACTGCTCATTCCCATTATTATGCAAGAGAAGTGAAAGAGCAATCAAATTAGACACAGAAAGAAATATAATTTATAATTTTATCTCAAGACTTTCACAGTAAAAAGCTAAATGTCAACTGGTATTGCTGACATTTATTAGTCCCTTTAAAATCAAGCCTTCTGAATCTAAAAATTCTAAGTAATCACCACATCTAACCTTGCCCAAATTTTTCACCAATTAACAATCAATTTCCAAGAGGTATCAAATTTATCAACAAAAACAAAACAAGAAAGAAAAAAGATTGAAATCAAAACTTTTAATCTTTTTTCGGTTGGATAATTTCAACATATATGGGGCCACACGTTATATATTGAAATGTGTGATGCTATTATT